CTCTCCCGATCCCACCTGCATTGCCATGTGCGAGTTCTCTCCTGATCCCGTCCTCGTCGCCGGTTGATTTAAAGATTGTTTACTTACACCAAAGATGGTCGTGGTGTAGGCTGGACAGTTTCCAGGTTCAGCTCCGCTTAAATCCTCGTTAGAGGACTACGACAATTGGTTCTTTGCCCCGGAGTTATTGAAGCTCCGCGGGTTCGGTAGTTTCTTTGCCCCGGAGTTATTGAAACTCCGCGGGTTCGGTAGTTTCTCGTACAGGAAGGGATACGTCTAGGAATTTATCGGCGACGGGGAGAGGCTAGAGGCTGTTCATTCTTTTCCCCGGAGTTGTTGAAGCTCTGCAGGTTCGGTTATCAGGCCTCTATTGCCTTTTAAGAAAAGCGTTGGGTCCGTAAGGATCCGCAGCGCTTAAGAGATCTTCACGCTCTCCCTCTCGAACTCCAATTGCTCTCTCTCCAACTTGGGCAGAAACCACCCAAGCTCTTTATACGGCTAGCAAGCCAATCGCTAGCCGCCACGTGTGCATGTGTTAGAATCGGCCAATAATGTGGCACGAATCTTCATACAAATGGCGGGAACTCCTTTGCACCGTGCATTTCCTGGATGCAAAAGAAATGCACCATGCAAACAAAGCTACAAAGTTGGCGGGAATACTCCGTTGCACCGGGGTTCTCCTCTGCAGCAGAAAACTCCACCGTGCAAAGAAGCTGCAATTTAGCGGGAACATAATTTAGCAGTGCCGAAGCACACACAAACAAAAAAAATCACAACTTTGGGTTGTGACACTCCTATTCCTCTCACAGCATGTTATATCCCTGTCACAGCTACAATTACTTACATGGAGAAGTAAGAATAGGCAAGTACTATGGCAAAAGACATATGAGATAAGTTAGCAGCTGGAAACAAGGAGGAGAAAATGTTGCCATGTGACAAGTAAACTCTTCACAGACCACCAGCAAGTGCTCAACAGACAGTCTCAGAGCCACTGTGCTCACATGGCAAAAATCAGAAACTCCAATCAATTACACGCTGGGTGCATCTACACATTCATTAATGCACAATAGTAACTGCATATTTAGTTTAGTACTTGCTTCAAGTTACTGCGCACATTTTTTTTGTGATGCTTACTGCGCAGTAGCCCAATAACACTGTGCAGTAGCTTATTAGCATGGTTTTTGACTAGCACACTACTGCGCAGTGTTATTAGGCTACTACACAATAAACATCTTGGGTAGACATGCCCACTGGGTGCATCTATGCATGCACTTTACAGCGGAGTAGGCCAATTAACTCCACAGTAAAGCATCACAATCTATATGTGCACCAGTACAGCAAAAGCTCTGTTATCCAGCACCCATGGGGATTGGGGGGTGCCGGATAACCAAATATGCCAGTTACCCAAGAGGCATCTTTGCCTCGTTGAGCCGCCACCCCTCCCACCGTGTCCCGTGCACCATGCTTTCACTCCCTAGTGTAAGTGTGCCGGAAGACAGGGGGGGGGGCCCTGCGCAGCCTGCTTGCCACAGCCTAAAACAGGACTTGGCAAAACCGGAAATGGGACTCTCAGTTTCATTTTTACCGCGTCAACAAACCGGCACTTCATTAACCGGCATGCCAGTTAATAGAGCATGCCGGTTAATGAAGTGCCGGATAACATGGCTTTTCCTGTATTAGGGTACAGTACTTTAACTCTATCGTAAGATAATACTATCAGGCACAGTACTATCTTACAGTGGAGTAACTGCCCTGAAATCCATGTGTAAATGGTGAGAAGGCTAGCTGGGGCAAAAAGAGTGCTAAAGTTTGGGGGCTGCCTGCTGCCCAGCCACCTGACTCTGCACTTTTAGCATTCTCGTGCCCCAACCAGGCCCTCTGACACCACCATCTGGAGCCTGGCGCTAGCCCCCACCAAGCCTGCTGCCAGCCCAGGGATTCTCCACCCTGGCTCAAATTGCTGCGGTCTCAGGCTCACGTGTAGACACTGCACCTTGGGAGCAGGGTCCTCCAACTCAAACAGTTCCAGAGTTTATCCCTTCGCATTAATTGCATGTGTTGTTGCACCCACTGTGTAAACTAAGTGAAGTTAGAGAAAAAGGCAGAGTAGTAACCATAATTACATTTTGATTACTTGAATTCTTTCAGTTTGAATGATACAAAACATCTGTCACAGACAGTGGCATTTCAATGAAACTGGCTTTTTACTACATAAGATTTTGCTTCTTCCTGCCCACCCAAAAGATTGTATGCCCTGTGGTGCTTTTAAGCGGCAACACCATTCATTCACGTGAAAGGAAGTTTTGCCCATGCACGCAATGCCGTATCAAGTCTTTAGGATCGAGGCATCTCGGTCCCCAATACCCAGCCCATGTATTTGGAGGGGTTCCAAGGACTACTGGCTCAGATTGAAAGTGCTCTAAGACTGCAGAGCAATGGCAAAACTCCACTGTGGCCCCACTGAGGCCTTGGGGCTGAAACAGCCAGAAAGAAAAAAAAAATCCGGTCCTGTCCCATGTTATTCCCCAAAATACTTGTAGTACAGCTTGGCAGCATGCAGGTATGTAAACCTCTGGGCAGGGTCCCTAAATCCTATGCACCTAGGCTGTGTTCAACCCCTTTTACACTCTCAGAAGTTTCCCCATAGGGTTAATCCTGTAAACATGAGATGCATCATTGAAATCAGTGGTAGTACTCATGGTAATAAGTACTGTACCTCCTAGTGCAAGTACTTGCAGGATGGAATACTTAAGATCCAATGATATTTGGTACCAACTGCATCCAGAGAGTGCTTAACCTCCTACATTTTTGTTTAGTGAAGGTAGCACCTCTCTAGACCAGCCTTTTTATGCGTATTTTGCCACTAGAAAAGCAACGAATGAGTATATAAAAATAAAACAGTAAAAAATCATCATAGAAAAATCTCTGTTTTTAAATTGTTATTTTATTAAACTGGCATATTCAGATACCAATGCCATATAGTTACTTTTCTTTATGCATCTAAAGTTGTATTAAAACTTCCTTATTCCCATTCCCAGATTTTCATGGTCAGCAAACATCTTTTTTAAAACAGAAACAGATACAAAATTCCTTAGTACTTGCATATTGGTTTATAAGTGAAAGCAACTCACAGTACAGTTTTAAACCCATGCAATGATAGCTGCAGGATTAGGTCCTTAGCCTCATAAAATACATGGTTGTTCGGCACAGTTTTGCAGAACCCTTTCTTTTGTAATATGAAAAGGCTCAGGAGTACTCTCTTGATCACTCTGTGAAGATCTCCATTTTAGTTTTCAATTGCCTTTTTTTTAAAAAAAAAAAAAAGGACTTAATCCAAAGTCTACTGAAGTCACTGGGAGGTTTTCCACAATTTCAATAGCTACTGGACCAGGCTCTGAAGACCAGAGTCAGATCTTCAGCTGATATAAGTTACAATTTACCCAAAGACTTCAATAGAGCTAGAACAATTTAAAACAGCTGAAGTTCTGGCCCAGACCTGTTTAATGAAGCAAGTCTTTTGAGCTGTACTCAACTCAACTACTGCACAATCAGTGTATGATTGCAGCTCGTATTCACAAAGCCAATTCAACTTTAAAGTAACTAACTTTAATACTGAAATGTAGCTGAGACAGTATAGGCTATCTGGCCAGTACTTTGCTCTTTTCAGAGTACTGCGTTGGAGGATCACTGAGCTATACTGCAACTTTTCAGATTTTTTTTTTTTTTTTTTTTTACATTTAAATATTTTCAGTATGTTTAACCTCTGAGTTACAGTAGAGCTTGTTCCATTCCCAAATTAAAATTCTCCTACTAAAAAGCAACTAAACACTTGAACTATTTTTAAAATATATTACCACGAACATTGGGAGCAATATGATCCACTTGCATTACTAAGGTTGCTTAAATTTGATAAAGGTTCTTAGTGGGCGAATTACATCTTTTATTTTCCTTCTTTTGGAGGCCTGATTGAGAATGGCATATATATACACTAGAGATACTTCAAAGTTTATAAGATTGCACATGCCATCAGATTAAGAATAGTGAACTTCTCTCCTGGGGTAACATCATCTTTTTCCCCACTTGCTGGAACAAATCTGTTTGCTAAAATAAGCTGAAAAGTTTTGAAATTGTTTATTAGTTTTAAGTATAACTTTACAACTGTGCAACTGGTTTCCACAAAAGAGTGGCAGTTATATGCTAGAGGGTTGGCTCCCAATTATGCTTTAGAACTATGTCCAAGCATTCCTCTCTGAATTACACAGGCATTTTGTGTATAAACTAGGCATACAACTGGACCCTTCAGAAAGAAGTATGTTGGGCTCATCACAGAACATTTAGAAAACAAATTAAGACTAACACCATTCAGGCACATCCAGAAAGATGGTGTGAGGGGGGAAGGTGCTGGAAAAACCTCACTGTAAAGGGACTTTTCAGTTAAGCTTGCAACCATTTTTATACCATGAAATGTCTTAATTTTGCATTCAATGAATACCACACAAAGCTATTTTTACTTCTTTGGCAAAAAACAATCTCATTAGAATTATCATAATGTCAAAGGACCAACACTCACAAAAATTCCTCAGTTTATTTTATGGTTTTTGTCTGTGCATCTTCTGTGCCATTTATGACAGATTCTTACTAGCACTGCATTAGAAAAGAACTCCCAGACCTTTTCAAGTGCCCAAAGGTGCCCATAACATACCTCATTATATTTCTGTTTTAGGCTTGTTTTAAATAGTCTTCCTATATAATCTATGACAGTCCTCATGTATATTAATAACAACTTAAAGCTTGAGACCTTAGCTTGCGAAAAAAAATATAAACTCAGTTAGGATGAACAGAAAGCCTTCAAAGATGGAGATATTTCTGCAGTACTGACAATTGTATTGCCTTCCTCCCCCCTTGTAGAAATGTGAAGCATCATCTGTCTCAGAGTAATAGTATCTAGAAATCAAATATATTTTATCTAGTTTATAAAATATCCAAACAAACAATCTTACCCTTTACTTTAAGGAGCTCAAATTAACCACTCTATGCAAATTTTCATAGAAGCTTCTTACAATGTTTTAGGATTTGTAGTTCATCAACCTGAAATTTTCCTTTATGGGAAGAAATGCATCCTTCAGACCTAGGAAATGAAAGCTTGCACCTTTCTGCAATTAAGCAAATTAGTTGCACATGAGGAGTCAAATCAGCTACAGAAAAACACCTCCAGTTTCTGCCACTTGCCTCTTCCAACTGCTGCTTCTAAAACAGTTATGTCTGGCCCACTCCTATTATTCAAACAAACATCCTTTCCATCTAAGGCACCTTAAACCAGAATCCCTTCGAGTTGTAACCGTCTCAAGGAAGGGAGGACAAAAAAACGAACAATCACTGAAAAGCTGTACACATAGATATGAGCTTTTCCACCTGTTTAGTACCTACTGTACATCCCCCACAGTGACACCCCAGTGTAGGTTTCAACTACCCGGTTAACCTTAAGGGGCATATGATTTACTGTTCACCTTGCACCCCTCTAGAAATTAATGTGCATCAGGTCTTGAACTTTTCTGCAAGCTTGGACCATTTAGTAATACTGGAGCTGGATATAGTGCTGCATAGGCCAATGACAGCCACAGCTGGAGGAGGAAAATTGTGAAGAGTCCCCTTCAGCCACTACACATTTTCCCTGTGCATCACACGCAGAAGCAGACACACATTTCCCTGTGCATGTTGTGTGCTGTTGATGATAAAGGTTCTTCCTAAGTACCGCATTAGACAAGAACTCCCAGACCTTTTGGAATGGTGAAAGGGTCCCAAAACACACCTCATTCTCTGAGAAACAATGAGTAGTGAGTGGGTCTTTTGTTTTTATATAGCTCCAGTGAAGAAAGAGTAGTGGGTCTTATTGTTATATAGATTAGATATAGTTATGTCAATGTATTATCTAGACATACATATACATCTATATACGTATAATAGTTTATATACATACACGTCTATATTCATATAACATCATATATATGTATATAGATGTACATATGTACGCCTATATAATACATTGCTATATAGATTATATATAGATATGTCTGTGTATTATACAGACATATGTATATTGGCAAACATATGTACATGTGTATACATATAATAATTTTTATAGATACAAACATGTTTATTTATAAACATATATACATACATACATACAAATTATATGTATACAGATGTACATATGTATGCCAATATATGTATGTCTATATAATATACAGACATATTACTATATAGATTAGATATAGAGATGTCTTTGTATTATATAGACATACCTAGGTATGTCTATACACATATAACTATCTATCTAAAAACATTATTTTATATAGATATACATTCTATGTATATAGATGTAGCTAGGTGTATCTATATAATACATAGACATATTGCTATATATTGACATCTCTAGATCTATATAGTGATATATCTGCGTATTATATAGACAGACCTAGGTACGTCTATATACACAGAGTGCGTATCTATATATAACGGTTTTAGATAGATAGGTAGATAGATCTGTCTACATAATACGCAGACATCTGTATATCTAATTTATACAACAGCAAGACCCACTACTCTGTCTTCACCGGATCGTCTAAGAAACAACACCAACAATAAAACTTTCCTGGGGAGGGGGCGCCGCCCGTCCCGACACCTGATCCCGTATCAGGGCGGTGCTGGCAGGGATCAAAGCGCCCGCGAGGCCCCCCACCGCACCGCACCGCACCGCACCGCACCCCCGGGCAGGCGGGCGGGACCCGGGGCAGAGAGATGCGGCGGGGGGCGGCGGCCCGAGGC